GTATCGCCCTCAAGGCAGTGGTGTCCCTCCGGAAACGGAGCCGACTCACTTCTATCATATCCTTACTCCTTATGCTGAAAAGCACGGGATGTCCTTCGACGAGTTTGTCCAGGCCTACAACGAACGCAAAGTCCTGGAGCCCGAGCTTGACGAGTATTTCTTGCATGATCGAGCCGTGCGAGAGTCTGGACACGATACCAGCTACCGTCTGGAGAAGGTATGCGCTAACCTGGCCACGGTCGATCTTAACTCGCTCTTGTACAAGTATGAAGTGGATATTGCGCGGGTAATCCGCACCTACTTCAAAGATAAGTTGGAAATTCCTCCTGAGTTCCGGACTGAGGCTACTAAGGACATCGCCTTCGAGTCCTCGTCGGTGTGGGACCGTCGCGCCCGACGCAGAAAGATGCGCATGGACACCTATCTCTGGGACGAGGAGAAAGGCATGTACTTCGATTATGACACTGCCAAGCAAGAACGAACGAACTACGAGAGTGCCACCACCTACTGGGCGATGTGGGCAGGTCTCGCGACGCCGCAACAAGCGTCTCAAATGGTCAAGGCTCTCCACCGATTCGAAGCGTATGGTGGTCTGGTGTCAGGAACCGAAGAGTCGCGGGGCGTTGTCGGTTTAGATCGTCCCAACCGGCAATGGGACTACCCCTATGGCTGGGCGCCTCAGCAGATGCTTGCTTGGACCGGACTGATCCGGTACGGTTACCAAGACGAAGCCGAACGCCTGACCTACAAGTGGCTGTACATGATCACCAAGGCCTTTGTGGATTTCAACGGGGTGGTGGTCGAGAAATACGATGTCACTCGACCCATTGACCCACATCGGGTGGATGCCGAGTACGGCAACCAAGGCGTGGATTTCAAGGGGGCTCCCCGTGAAGGGTAAGAATTCCCGAGTTGGACGACACGAAGCTATTTTTCCCCTTACGCGCAGCTCACTAACTTATTTGCTTTAGATTTGGTTGGGTGAATGCCAGCTACGTTTACGGATTGGAGATCCTCAACGCCCATCAACGACGTGCTCTTGGAGCCATCACCCCTTACGAGACGTACAACAAGGCTGTCAGCGTGCAAGATGAAATCTTGTAAGCGCTTTTGACTGACATGTCTTGAGTGATTTGTCTCTGCCTCGTTACGAGATTTTGAAATTCTTTCTATATTTCCCGATGATTTTGGGGTCGAATCTTGGAAACGTTCTTTCGTTTTGCGGTCTCGGCTTTTTGAAGGCTTATTTAGATGGACTTGAAAAGCGGTGGAGATAGAGTATAATGGGTCTGCTATATTTCCTAAATAGTGAATGTTTCTTCGGATGTTGGGCGGTTGGGATGCAGCAGAAGGGAGCTTGTTAAGATCTGGAGGAGGACCTTGAGGGTTTGCTTGTTTGAAAGTCGGAGTTGATAGCCAGTCGTACTGCGTGCGACGATGAGTGATGAGTTGAATTCAAGCCAGCGTTGTTCTGTTTGATGTCTGTGAGTGATGGAAAGGGGGGGAGTAATGAGTGGGCCATGGCTGTGATTGTCAGGTCTGTGCAACAGAGCGTACGCTTTTTTGTCTTTTACCTTTTTAAGTTCTGACTTTCGTATCAGTATCTCTTCATTTCCGGACGTGTCTTTTTATAACTTCTCTAACAGCCCATGCAGGAACAGGGCCGATGCGACCCGCCAATGGCCATTGCTGAAGCTGTGCAAAAAAAAAAAAAAAAAAAAAAAAGTAAGGAGGGGATGAAGCGTGGTCTCAGTCAGTGTGCGGACCAGGCTAAACCTTAGCCAAAACGTTAGTGTAGTTGGACTGTTAGACTGTTACTTTGTTTGACTTTGGCCGAAGCTAAGCAGTTGACAGAATCCACCGAGGTGTTCACTTTGTTCACTTTGTTCACTTTGGACGTGAACATGATTGAAGACGGGCTGCCGACCAGCCGCGGTCCGTTCAGAAGCGGGGGAGCCTAGGGAAATGCCCCGAACCCGGCTTGGGTTTGGCCGCATGTGCTTCACCACTAACCCTTCCACTAACACCACTAACACTGTTCTATGGATCACTCCCGGACTCTCTTGTCGGCGCAATTCCTCCATCCGGTCTCTGTCTCTTCCATGGTCTGCCACACCATGACGATCATTCTACTGATTTAATCCCGGGATGATCGCCTGGCTTTGTCGCTCATTCCCCCCTACTTCTACTTCTACTTCTATTTCTTGGTTCACCTCCGCTCTCTTTCTTGCTGGCTGGCTTTTTCTATCCTCCGTCCCTCCCCCTCTCTCCTCCGCCCAACCTTTCCATAATTTAGCTATTCAACAATCGCAACAATGGGCGCAATAGAGATCCCTCCTTTCGAAAATACTCCGATCGAGGAGATTCAATCCCGCGTCTCGACGGTACGCAAGACTTTCAATGCACACAAGACCCGCGATGTGGAGTACCGGCTGGTCCAACTCCGCAAGCTATACTGGGCGTGAGTTTTTTTGGTTCCTTCTTCTCCCCCCCCCCCCCCCCCCCCGGAGCGAAAAGCAGAAGAGACATGGACGAAGGAAGGCATAATGCTAATCTTTCCCCGGTGGCAACAAGTGTGAAGGACCATCTCGAGGAAATGCGCGAGGCGCTCCGACGGGACCTCAACCGACCGGATTTCGAGACCGAGCTCGGCGACACCAACTGGGTCCTGAACGACATCGTTTTCGTGTGTCGCAATCTGCAGAAATGGGTCAAGGATGAGAAGGCGGAGAATATCGATATCACTTTCAAGTTCGTGAGCCCGAAGATCCGGAAGGATCCTTTGGGTTGTGTTTTGGTTATCGGGTATGTCTGGCCTGCCTGCCTGCCGCTCACTATCTTGGTTTGCGGGGGGAAGTTCGAAATGAGCTAATTGTGGATGGATCATAGTCCATTTAATTACCCGTTCCAGTTGACGCTGGGGCCGGTGATTGGTGCCATCGCCGCCGGTTGTACTGTGGTGGTCAAGCCTAGTGAGAAGTCCTCCCACAGCGCATCGGTGATCCAGCGGATTATCGAGGCAGCGCTCGATCCGGAGGCGTACACGGTGGTGCAGGGAGGAGTCCCGGAGACTCAGGCGCTCCTGGCGGAGCGGTGGGATAAGATCTTCTTCACCGGTAGTGCGAATGTCGGCCGCATCATCTGCAAGGCAGCTGCGCCCCATATGACTCCCGTCGTGCTGGAGCTGGGCGGTCGCAACCCCGCGATCATCTCTAAGAACGCGGATCCCAAGCTGGTGGCGCGTCGCATGCTGTGGGGAAAAGTCACGAATGCCGGACAAATCTGTACGTCGCAGAACTATATGCTCGTGGAGAGACCCATCCTGCCGGCGGTGGTGGATGAGTTCAAAAAGGCCTACAGCGAGTTCTTCCCGCAGGGAGCCAAGACCTCCCCCGACCTCAGTCGCATCATCGATGATGCTTCGTTCCAGCGAATTAAGAGGATGATCGACAACACTAGGGGCAAGATCCTTCTGGGAGGAACGATGGATGAGAAGGAGCGCTTCATCGAGCCTACACTCATCCAGATCGACTCGGTCGATGACTCCCTGGTCGCCGAGGAGAGTTTTGGTCCCTTGTTGACCATTCTCCCCGTCGACAGCATCGATGAGGCGATCGAGATCGCCAACGGCGTGCAGTCCACGCCTTTGGCTCTCTACCCATTCGGCACCAAGGCCGAAGCCGAGAAGAGTATGTGACCTTTTCCCTTTCCCTTTCTCTCCTGGATATACCCAGTCACGCAAACTAACCTCTCTTTCGTATAGTTCTCTCCAAGACCCGCTCCGGAGGTGTCTCCATCAACGACGCCGCGCTGCACATCCCCACTCTCGAATTCGGCGGTGTGGGCGAGAGTGGCAGCGGCTCCTACCGTGGCAAGGCCAGTTTCGATGTCTTCGTGCACCGCCGCACCATCACCACCAGCCCGGGTTGGATCGAATCCGCGCTGGCCATCCGCTACCCACCCTTCGGCAAGAAGCAGGAATACTTCATCAAGGCTGGTAGCCTGACGCCGGACTTCGATCGCAACGGACAACAGCTCCGACTCGGCTGGCTCCGCTACCTCTTCACGCTCGGCGGTGGATCCGTCAAGTCCGGCGTCACTCGTGCCACCATTGTTGCTGCGGGTGAGTGATATCTTTTTTTTTTTTTTTCTGCTTCGCACGTATCAGTGTCATCATTTTGGATTTGTTACCCCATGCGCCATCTCGGTCGCACGCAGTCTTCTTACTGTCCGCATCTCCACCGGCAGAATAAGGGCCGACTCGCACACTCCCAAGTTCGCGTGGGAATCGAATCGATCCTTTCGGCCTGCGTACATTGACCTGATGTGTTCGATCCCAACTCTCGCTCTGGTGGTTTTCCGTCTGTGATGGCATGCCCTTTTTTGCCTGGTGTCACATGATCTAATATACTGTGCTCTGACATCTATTGTTTAATCTTTAATCCTCGACCCACAACTTTGGACATTCCAAAACCAAAGAAACTCAAACAAACGATATATACTTACCATATTCTATCTCCAGTGGCATACCTCGCACTCCAGCTCCTCGACCGCCGAGGTTCCAAGCTATGAATCAATTTCCTCCCCGGTGATTGTCAAAGTTACAGTCCAATGTCTATCTACTGATCATTTCTTGGTATGGTTTTGGTGCATTGATGTCTCTTCGGGGTGGATTCTTTTCTGATATTCGAAATTTCTTTGGATTTTCTGATCTGGCGCCATTTTTTTTTTCTTTTTGCTTTGGTTTGTGCTTTAGGGTGTGGTCCGATGTTTATGATTATGTATACTATAATTTGCCTCCTGATGGCAGGAGGATTGAGGGGCAAATACCATCTAGTGGGGGGGGAGTAGCTAGCAGGCTAGCTAGCCGGCGCGACAAATTTGAAGTATGATCGATCATGATTACTATCAGTGACTTTCATTCAGAACGTAGGCATCTATTCTATCAAGTATCTTCTGAGTCCATCCATACGCATCTACTTAATCTTGAGAAAATGGTCCGGTGTTTCTGCATCCGGTGGATTCAAATGTCTATTTATCATCATTGCATGTCACGTCACATCTCCATCCCTTATCAAGATAGTTAGTGGTAGTATTGGGCGTCATCAAGAAAAAAGCAAACCCATCGCGTTCCACCAACAATTCCTAGGTTTTTGGAGCAAATGGTCTATGAGCCAGAAATTTGGAAAGAGATGGCGGGAAAAGACTTGAGAAGATGTGAACAAGGGGTAAGCAAAAAAAAAAAGGAGAAATTGTGGGGTGGGGATAGATAGGCAACCCGACCATATACAGTGAAGTGGTCGTGACAGGGTAGCTAGGCCGTTCCAATGTAGGTTAGGTTATGTTTCGCGATGTTCGGAGGGTGGAAGTGCGCAATGTGTGTGTAATGCATCCCACAGGGAGCGGAGGATGTGGGATGAATTGTTCCCTCAAATCCCGGGGCCTGGGGCCCGCTAACACCGCCTCTCCACGCCCTTTTGACTTACGCATAGGTACTTCACCCCCTTGTATGGTTTGACGCCTTCGCCCAGGCCGCGGCTTTTCCGCGGGTCGATGTTGAGGCTGTCGACTTTGAGGCCGGAGGGGAGCCAGCCGCGCACGGAGAAGGAGACGGAGGCGGAGGTGGGCATGAGGATGGCGTTGAGTTGGGTCTTGGTCTTGCGGGGGGCGGTGTGGAATATGTTGGCTGGCTGGCGGTCTTTGGAGGGTTTGGGGGAGGAGTTGGAGCGGAGCTTTTCTGGACGGGCGTGGCGGGGTTCGGTTTCGGGCTCGGCACCCGTTTCTGGGGTAGTATGTTGTGTTTCCCCTTCGGCTTCAGGGAGGAGTGTTGATGGTTGTGAAGGAGCTGGAGGAGCTGGAGTTGACGGCTGGGAGGGGTCGGAGGAGGGGTAGGGTTGGGGTTGTTCGGCGTCCAGGAGGTTGTTGGGGTCGGCGGCAGGAGAAGCTGGTGCTTCGGCCTCTGCTGCAGCCGCCGCGGCTGCGCGAGAGGATTTCTTGACAACCTTCTTCTTCTTCTTTTTCTTGGTCTTCCGTTTTGTGGTGCCCGTTTCCGGGTCCTGATATGCCGTGGTTGGGTCATAGTAGCCCTGGAGAAGGTTGGCGTCTGCATCTTCCAACTCGTCTTCGGCATCGTCCTCATCGTAATGACCAACCACGCTACACCGCAAGGTCGCGGTGCCGGAGACAGTACCGGCGTCTTTGGTCGGGATTCGCCATTCGAGCACCTCGCTCCCCGGAGAGTACAAGGCCTCTCCGCGGCTGGCTTGCATCTCTGTGATATTCCGGACCGACTTGGGGATGGGAACCGTAACAACGACCTCTTCCAAGGCAGGTGCCGCGGAGTTCCCGCCCCCTCCGAGGAACGAGGGGGTCGATGTCCCTGACCCACTGCGCCCGACTCCGGGCCGGTTGGCGGATGTGTAGCCCGGAAAGTTGGTGTTGAGAATCAGGCGCACTTCGAACTCGGCGCCTGTTGGGCCGAGAGACTTGCGAACATCCACGATAGCCGGCAGGAAAAGCTTCTCCATGTGGGTGGGAGGTTGGTCAAGGTTGGGGTCAAGCGGCAGGAGATCTACCTCATACCCGGCGAGGATGAATCGACCGTCCGGTGGAACAAAACTGAGCTCCCCCGGCCGTTCCCGCCATCGCGCTAATCGCACACAGGGGTGGAAGACAGGAAGCTCCAGCTTCCGCCCCAAGACTTTCTGGCCGCCGGGTGCCGTTAAGGAGAGAAGGAGATCTGGGACACCGGAGACCTTCGCAGTAAAGGCGATGGTGCCGGAGGCCAAAGCAGATAGCAGACGACCGGACGGGGCGATAGTGACCGACAAAGACTCGATTATGTCAACATATATCTCGTTTGAGGTATGACGAACACCAGATTTCCGCCAAGGTATCGCGGGACCTTGTGCTGCGGCGGCGGACGACAAAGATTGCTTCAATGCGTTGGGCTGGCCCAGGATTGGTGTGGATGAACTATTTTGACGGGACCACAAGGGTTAGTATAATTGACTAAGAGCTCCGTATGCCAAGTTGGCGGGGTCATTCATCGACAAGGTATAGTCACTCACCCAGCCAACCCAACCCCGCCCAAGAGTTTCCCCATCCATCCTGGCATTTCAACCACCTCCTGCAACATGTTGGGCTCGGTGTTGCACACGATGCCGCCATCGCACATCTCGTAAAGTAGCTGCGCGACCACATCGTAGTTGGCCTGTAGCTTTGTTGAGAGCAATGGCGCCCCAACGAACTCCTCGAGGACATCGACGACTCGATGTAGAAACTCCAGCACCAGCAGCGCTTCCGAGTCAACCTCGGAGACTGCGATGAAGGTGAGATTCGACTGGACGATGGAAAAGACGGTCACCGGTGGAGTCGCACCGGGCAGATACAGCACTGAGGGGCGAGGGGCCGCATGAGCGAGAAAGAGAGAGCGAATTACTGGTGCGGAGGGCGGACGGGAGCGGTAGACCTGTTCGACGATCGGATTGCTGAAGGACAGAACGTCAGTAGCTGGGGAGATACGGAGTGTTTAGAGAAACAGACGTCTGCTCATCATAAATATAAAGCGCATCGACTTGGCCGCTCATGATGGCGACCTAACTCGACGGGGCTGGGGAATCGGGGGGAGGGGGGAGTGGGCGGTCATGGTCCGTCCGGGCGTGATGGTCGGGGAAGGGAAATGAGGCCATCCGCCTCCAAATCGCCCGCGTTCTGCCGCTCACCTCCGCCTGGGTCATCGGATGAATCCGATTGATTTCCCGTCTCGGGGATTTCCATTGTATGAAGTGATTTATTGTCCTCCATTCATAAATACCTACTCACCCCATACTACCCTTCCCTCTTCTGTCTTCGCCCAGCATGCCTTCCTCCTCCTCCTCCTCCTCTTCCTCGAATGAAATTGAGCGCTGGGATGTTCAGCCCAAGGATGCGAAGCGCATGCTCGCCGAAGAATCCTACGATGACTGTCTATCCTGCCGCATAACAGGTTGGTTTTCTCTCCTTCTGCTTTAACTCGCTTTAAAGCCCCGGTGGTTAAGCCTCAAGGAACACAGGATCTGCCGCATTCATCGGCCTCGGTGTCTACAGCTACTGGACGGGAATGAGCAACCTCAGGAAGCAAGAAAAGACAATCATGCAAAGCGCCACCAAGTACAAGATGGGATCTCGACGTCTCGGCATTGCGACTATCTCCGCAACCCTGGTCGGCATGGGCGTTTGGAGGGCTTTCAACTAATACCCAGGTTTCAAGTTTGTGATTTTTATTCCACTCAGGGCGTTATGTATATCAGCTCAAATGATTGAAACTACTCTATGATTGATAAGAGTCACGTGTGAATGAGTGCATGAAATGTTTATACGTTTAGCATTGACACGAGCTGCCTCGTCGGGTATCGCCAAAGCCTGTTAACCTCTATAGATTCGATGATTATGAATCAAAAAGAAAGAGAAATGAAAGGTGGTTGAAGGTGGATATGAAGAAAGGAAACACAGTGGAGGAGGATAGGATGAGCGTGAAAACGGGAAGTAAGATAAAATGACCGTGGCCTGAAGACCGCATGCAATACTCCCACAAATGCACCAGGATAAACAAAAAAAAAATGTATCAATGTAATAATAACCGCTGCGTAACCATAGGAATATGAACTTCGTCTGATCGTCGATACAATATTCTTTCAGGTGAAGCGGCCTCGCTTGCCGCCGCCGAACAAGTCTCGATTCCCGAGGCCAGACAGGTCGAAGAAATCCGGCACTGCGAGCTTGCGTTTCGAGCCAAGTCCGACGGAGGACTCGCGAGTGGACGATCGAGGGTTGGGTCGTGAAAAGTTGTTGTGACGGGTTTGCTGCCGGCCATTTCGAGGCAGTACTGAAACGCTGACGGGCGCCCCGTCTTGAGACAAGGGTGTTGAACTATCCGAGGCTTGCATATCCATATCTTGTTCTGGTGGGAAGGCTGGTCCGGCAGTGAAAGTAAAGATCGTAGGTCTGTCGAAGGTACTAGGTTCGGATGATGGAGGGGAAGACGGTGGTGATGAAGCCTGGGGTGGCGGGGCGCTCGGCTCGTCGACTGATGGAGATGCTGACTTGGATACTTGTCGTGTCGGTTCAGATTCGGGCTGTGCCTTGCGAGTTGCAGCAGAAGTTGTGCCTCTGGTTTGTTTCTCAACCTCGTCGTCGTCGCTATGGGCACCGATGCCGTCGCTCCGTTCCGTGGCCCACTGTCGAACCTTCCAGCCCTCTCCATCACCCAGCCCGAGGTTCTCCCGATCTAGAAAGTGCAATAGGTCCTCAATGGCTTCTTGGTAGCCTGCTTGCTTGGCTTGAGCTTGTTCGTAAACGGCATTCTTGTAGAGGTTGGTGACTGAGAGGGCAGCCGCCTTGAACGATTGAAGAAGCTGCTCAGGGGGCTGCGGGCGGGGTGTCGATTTCGGCAATGAAGTGTTCAAAGATCTCATTGAGTCCATAATGAAGTGAACTGCAGCAGAAGAAATAGCGTTGCAGGAAACTTGAGACAAAGTCTTAGAAGACGGCGACGTCGTCACAACCGCCACTAGGAGGGGTGACTTGAACCGTGCGTTGGCTGCCAACAGGGAGCGGGCAATTAAATTACTCGAAAGGGTCAGGAAGCGCGGGTAATATCGAGATATTCCAGAGATATGTTCACAAAGGTGACAGTACAAGTAAGGATGATGCAAATAAAGGAGGAAAGAAAGGGAGTGGGAGAGTGAAGTAGACACACGATGTTGACTCAAGGATGATTCGATCGGGAGAATGTTGGCGCAGCTGATCCTTCTTTGCTTCTGACCGGGTAACGTGACCCACAGCGGGGAAACTTGTTTTCCGCTCTGCTCTTCTGGGCAAGTGCCTTATCCTGCAGTGCGGTGCGGTGCCAGCGTGCCCTGCAGTACGGGACTACGGTCGGAGTGACCTCCTCCTCCTCCCGAGTCCCGACTCGAATGCCCCCCCCTCTTTCCTCCCCTGCTGACTCACATCTTACTCACCCTAAGCTTGCGCGTCTCCCCGACCAATCAGCGCGTCAAGGGGCCGCGCTTCGCCGGCGAATTTCCATTTGCCATCCCGGCGCGACTGCGAGGCGGTACTTCTTTCGTCCTTTCATCATCCTCCGTCACTACGATTGTTTTTCACCCTACCTTTGTCCTCCATCTCAAAGACAAATTGTGGGACCAGGCTTGTCCTCAATCAGCCCAAACTCAGAGGAGTGGCAATTCTCTCTCATCAGTCCTTCTCACTCGCTCCATATTTGTCCGATTGCATACTCTCAGATCGCGTTTCTGCCGATATAGTTGAACCTGCCTGCGCAAGGTGCGCTTTGGAAAGTCATGGCTCCTTCACACATTCCGACCTCCGACCCGCCGTCTCAGGCAGATACCCCAATGACCGATGCGACTGCAGAGCCCATCACGTCGGTGCCAGTTGATAGGCCAGACGCGCAAATGACGGTAAGTGCGCGCATTCATGCCATGAGCTATACCTGCCAAACCATGTCACATATCTTATAAGGAAGCTTTTGCTAACCATCAGAGCGTTTTGTAACTTCCAGGACACTCCCGACTACACGGTATTAACGCTCCGATGTTGAACACTGCTATCAACGCATAGATGGGCTGACGGGCGCGCAATAGGATACTGATACGAACCCCAACACCACGGCGAGCAGTGTTGCAGGCGACGCACCGCCTTTGGATGGGCGGAGACGACGATCCGAAGCTTTTCACATGAGAAAAAGTATCCTGGGTAAAAAGCACGGTCGCTTGGACGAATCAATGGTAGGTGGATATGCTACATACCCATGCACCAGCATCCACTCGCTCATGTGTGTGACTATAGGAAGATGATTCTATCCGTCGTTTTCGCTACCTCCTCGGCCTCACCGATCTATTCCGTCATTTCATTGAAACAAATCCGAATCCGCGAATCAAAGAGATCATGGCTGAGATCGACCGGCAAAATGAAGAGGAGGAAGCAAAAGCTAAAAAGAAGGGATCAGCTCGCTCAGGTGGTGCGAGTGCCGACAGACGTCGCAGAACAGAACAAGAGGAAGATGCTGAGCTTCTCAAAGACGAAAGGAGCGGCGGCGAAACAGGCACCGTTTTCCGGGAATCCCCGCCCTTCATCAAGGGAGAGATGCGCGACTATCAGGTTGCCGGTCTGAACTGGCTTGTTTCCCTTCATGAAAACGGTATCTCTGGGATTCTGGCGGATGAGATGGGTTTGGGCAAAACGTTGCAGACCATCTCTTTCCTTGGCTACCTCCGACATGTCTGCGGAATCACAGGACCACACCTTGTTGCAGTCCCGAAATCAACACTTGACAATTGGAGGCGAGAGTTTGGAAAGTGGACTCCTGAGGTGAACGTCCTGGTATTGCAGGGTGACAAGGAAGAGCGGCATCGCTTGATCAACGAGCGCCTTCTGGACGAGAACTTCGATGTTTGTATCACCAGTTACGAAATGGTTCTTCGCGAGAAGAGTCACTTGAAGAAGTTTGCTTGGGAGTACATCATCATCGATGAGGCTCATCGTATCAAGAACGAAGAGTCTTCGCTGGCACAAATCATTCGTGTCTTCCATTCTAGGAATCGACTGTTGATTACTGGTACTCCTCTGCAGAACAACCTGCACGAACTCTGGGCTCTCTTGAACTTCTTGCTACCGGACGTCTTTGGTGATTCGGAGGCTTTCGATCAGTGGTTCTCCAGTCAAGATGCTGACCAGGACACTGTGGTGCAACAACTCCACCGCGTTTTGCGGCCTTTCCTGCTGCGCCGTGTCAAGAACGACGTGGAGAAGAGCCTGCTTCCTAAGAAGGAGATTAACCTATACGTACCCATGTCAGAGATGCAAGTTAAATGGTACCAGAAAATCTTGGAGAAGGACATCGACGCGGTAAATGGTGCTGCCGGCAAGCGCGAATCGAAGACTCGTTTGCTAAACATTGTCATGCAATTGCGCAAGTGTTGCAATCACCCATACCTTTTCGAAGGCGCCGAGCCAGGTCCTCCGTACACAACCGATGAACATCTTGTGGACAATGCGGGAAAGATGGTTATCCTTGATAAGGTTCTGACGCGCATGAAGAAGCAGGGCAGTCGCGTGCTCATTTTCTCCCAGATGAGTCGTGTTCTCGACATTCTGGAAGATTACTGCGTCTTCCGAGAGTACAAGTATTGCCGCATTGACGGTACGACCGCTCATGAGGATCGAATCGCCGCCATTGATGAGTACAACAAGCCTGACTCGGAGAAATTCATCTTTCTTCTTACAACAAGAGCAGGTGGATTGGGAATCAACCTGACAACCGCCGACATTGTTGTTCTTTATGATAGTGATTGGAATCCCCAGGCGGATCTACAGGCCATGGATCGTGCTCACCGGATTGGTCAGACTAAGCAGGTTGTTGTATTCCGATTCATTACAGAAAACGCTATTGAGGAAAAGGTTCTAGAACGTGCGGCGCAGAAATTGCGGTTGGACCAGCTCGTTATCCAACAAGGGCGTGCCCAGCAGCAAACCAAGAATGCTGCATCGAAAGACGAGCTCCTTGGCATGATTCAGCATGGAGCTGCCAACGTCTTCACCCAGAAAGGCGCAACGGGGTCTTTGTCTACGGAGAACAAATTGTCTGAAGATGACATCGATGCTATTCTGCGCAAGGGCGAAGAGAGAACCGCGGAGTTAAACAAGAAGTACGAAAAGCTTGGAATCGATGACCTCCAGAAGTTTAGTTCGGAGAGTGCGTACGAGTGGAATGGTCAAGATTTCGCCGATCGCAAGAAGGACATTGGAATTAACTGGATCAACCCAGCCAAGCGCGAGCGAAAGGAGCAGTTCTATTCTATCGACAAGTACTATCGTCAGGCTTTGGCCACCGGCGGCAGAACAGCTGATCCTAAACCGAAGGTTCCGCGAGCCCCCAAGCAAATCGCCGTCCATGATTGGCAATTCTTCCCCCCTGGGCTTCAAGAACTTCAAGAGAAGGAAACTGCGTACTTCCACAAAGAGATCGGCTACAAGGTTCCTCTATCGGATGGTCCTGATGAAGAGCTCAGTGAGCGTGAAGCCGAGCGCGACCTGGAGCAGCAAGAGATAGACAATGCTGTGCCGTTGACGGAAGAGGAGCAGGCACAAAAGGCAAAGATGTCCGAAGAGGGCTTCTCTACCTGGAACCGCCGTGATTTCCAGCAGTTTGTCAATGGCTCGGCCAAATTCGGTCGCACTGATTATGCCGGCATTGCTACCGAGGTGGATAGCAAGGAGCCGGATGAAATCGAGGAGTACGCTCAAGTATTCTGGGAACGATACACCGAGATCCAAGACTATCCTAAGTATCTTCGCGTCATTGATCAAGGCGAGGAAAAGCTGCGCAAGATGAACCATCAGCGCAAGATGCTGCGCAAGAAGATGGAGATGTACCGCGTGCCCCTTCAACAGCTCAAGATCAACTACACGGTGTCGACTACTAATAAGAAAGTCTATACGGAAGAAGAAGATCGATTCTTGTTGGTCATGCTGGACAAGTATGGGGTCGATGGCGAGGGTCTCTATGAGAAAATCCGTGACGAGATTCGCGAGTCTCCCCTCTTCCGCTTCGACTGGTTCTTTCTCAGCCGGACACCTGTCGAAATCGGGCGTCGCTGCACCACACTATTGAATACTGTCGCTAAGGAATTTGAGACCACCGAAGACGGAAAGGCGAATGGGGAAGGTGGCAAAGGTCGCGGGCGTGATCGGGACGAAGAGGAGGTTGAGAATGAAGAAGAGGCCCCTGCAAAGAAGAAAACCAAGGGTGGTGCAGTTGTAAGTCAAAACCTCTCATTGATAGCTTCCGCATAGTTCTTACTGACGCCCCTCGCAGAACAAGCAGGTGAAGGCCGTCAAGGGTGGCAGCAAAGCAAATTCGGCCTCCACGTCGCGGGCTGCTAGTGTTTCGTCCAACGCAGCCTCGAAATCGAAGAGCCGGAAAAAGTGATGTCTCTTACCTTGTGCGGTCTCGGCTTCAAATGACTAAGATTTTATGACTTTTCTGTAGACTGTTTGGGAAGTCTTGACAGAGGATGGGACTTGTTGGTGCATCATGTTTCATATATGCTGGGTTGGGCGTTGGCAAATAAATGCCACTGTAGTCTATAATGTTACTTTTTCATCTTCCCACCTCGAGTTTCGGTGGCATGTAGATCAAGGCGTGTCAGTGTGGATTCTTCAAGTTCATGCCGACTTCTTCCTTTATTTATCATTCACTTAAACCTGATCATCATCCAAGATGAGAGGCAGTAGAGCACAGCTGAGGAGAGAGTATGCCGTCTACCATCTACCACAAAAAGCAATTCTACCTGTTTCGGCGGTTTCCACCGCCCGCCACTTCTAGATAACTGTAACCAAGTCCCTGATAAGATAGGCGCATTATCTTTATTCCTTTCCAAATCGCGTCAATAGAACGCGTCCGCATGATTTAATCAATATCACCGTCTCGGAAACAGAGGAAGCTGGTATACATTTTCTCGACGATGAAGCGGCACATTTCCCTTCCTTCCTTTGTGCACAATAGTCATTCGTTTCGACTCGCTTTCTAGAGCCTTCAGCCGCAGTGTTACCTTATCACGGTGTCAACTCATCCTCAACATTTGATTTCAACAAATAACTCAACCTCTCTTCGTCCGACTATACAGGCTCACATAGGACTTCCATTGCCATCGCCCGCTGATGCTTCAATCCTGAAATATTATTCCCTGGACGGAACAGAAGTTCATAGCGAAAGACCGGACCAGCACATGTCGGACAACTCTGATAGCGAAGGCGGCCTTGTTGGGGAGCTTCTTGCCAGGTTCAAGAGCGGCCCTGCTGTTCGCACCTCGGAAGCGCCTCAAGATGGAAGTGCCTTGAAAGAGTCTGGAGTGCCAGAAATTGAGGCATCTGAGGATGATTTCCCACCTCAGCAAGATTCACCAGAACGCAACCTAATCCAAGAAAGCCCATTAGAGCCTCGGCTACCGCGGCCTGTCGTTGAGGTTCCACTTGCCCCCAGCAGTGTTATCGAGGACTGCGAATACCTACCTGGACACTTTGAGGCTCTCTACATTATCAGCGAGGAGGTTTCTGAGACAGAGGGCGGGCTTCTGTATCGGATTAGGCTGAAAAGTGGCGAGATTCTAAAGGTATGTTGCACTTGCAACCTTTTTGCCCCTATATTGTGTCACTAACCGTCCCATCATCCAGGCTTCATCCGAGCAGCTTGAAACTCTCAATAATGGACGACAAGCCCTAACGAATTTCTTCCAATACGGTCCCAATGAATCAGCCTCATCTCAATCCCCCGACACATCGGAAGAAGACTCGGACTTGTCCGACGCAAGAAAGCGGACCAGGAGAAGCACCCAGCGGTCTACCCGGGCTAAAAACACTGGATTCACAGCTTTCTTCGGAAACTTGAGTAGCGATGACGAGATAGGCCATCCACGACGAGGAGGCTATTCTTCCAGTGAAGATATTATCGCATCATCTGGTACAACAACAAGAAGGCGTCGCATGTTACGAGCTCGAAAGAGCAAGTCGCGCTCAGAGATCTTGCTATCGGACGAAGAAAACAGCCGCCGGAGTACCCCAGCAGGCACGCGTCAGTCGACAAGGACTCGAAAGGCCTTGCGGAAGAACCTGCGCGAACGGAATGAGGACGAAATCTCCGAGAATGAGAACACACCGAAAAATCATGAAAAGTACTTCGGTGCCAAAGAGAGGTTTCAGAAGATACCAGAAAATGATCCTTTCCGAGAAAGACACCGCGGCGCTTGCACGAGATGTCATGTTATCGGAGACGATCATGCGAAAGGACCTCTCGTATTCTGCCAGGGATGTACCAGCAGTTTCCACCATTCATGCCTGGGTCCCCGGGCTGCCCGAGACCATCTAGTTACTAAAGTCACCGAAGATTTGTTTGTCCTTCAATGCCGCAACTGCTTGGGAGTTGCTCATTCAAAAGACCCAATTGTACCTCATCAGGGTCATTGTGCTATCTGCAATCGCGAAGGGAACATGTCAAGGCCACTGCGGGATCGTCTAACGCCGAAGCAGGAACAACAGTCTCGGCAGCAGAACGGTGGGAAGGATCCTATAACTTTCATCGATATGTCGCGGGTCAATAATGTGGCTAATTTACTATTCCGTTGCACTACTTGCCATCGAGCCTTCCACTTCGAGCATCTATCTGACGTCGCTCATCTTACGTGGCATTGCCAGGACTGTGCTTCAGTCCCGGGAGAAGTCGGTGCTATAGTTGCCTGGCGACCAGTCGACCCAAAGGCGAAATTTGCAAAAGAAGCGGAGCGGGAGTATCTTATCAAATGGAAAAACCAATCCTACGGCCACGCGACCTGGATGCCTGGAAGCTGGGTATGGGGCTTTGTTAACCATATCATGCGTCGGGCCTTTCTCAAGAAGAACCTCGCACCGCAAAGGACTATCGAAGAAGCTGTTCCAGATGATTATTTACGGATCGATATCATCTTCGACGTTCGCTATTCTAGCTCATCGCCGCCTGGAGAAAGCAAGCAGCGGTCGTACGAAGCAGACCTGGAGCGGATTTACAATGTGTCTCAGGTATATGTCAAATTCAAAGGCCTTCCGTATGAGGAGGTGGTCTGGGATACACCTCCTGATCGGAATGATGTGGAGAGATGGGAGGACTTCAAAGCTGCTTTTGCGGACTGGGTCAAACGGGAATATGTCCGTCAGCCGAACCAAGAAACCTTGAGAAGACATCTCGCCAAGAAGAGAAAAAAGAACTTCCAGACTGATCTGGTCAAAGACCATCAGCCCACCATTATGACGGGTGGAGAGATGATGGACTACCAACACGATGGTGTCAATTGGCTCTACTACATGTGGTTCAAACAGCAAAACGCCATTCTTGCCGATGAGATGGGTCTTGGAAAGACGATTCAAGTCATTGGCTTCATGGCTACCCTGATTCAGTACCACAGATGCTGGCCTTTCCTGGTGGTGGTGCCTAATTCCACCTGTCCCAACTGGCGCAAAGAAATCAAGTCATGGGTTCCTTCAATGCGGGTTGTGACATACTACGGGTCTGCATTTTCTCGCAATCTTGCCAAAGAGTATGAGATGTATGCTGATGACGATCCTACTCTCCGGTGCCACGTCGTCGTGACTTCGTATGAGACGATGGTTGATGATGCATCCCGCAGATCCCTGGCAAAGATTCCCTGGGCTGGGTTGATTGTTGACGAAGGCCAACGGCTCAAGAACGACAAGAGCCAACTTTATGAAGCACTGTCGCGAATCAGATTCCCGTTCAAGTTGCTTTTGACGGGCACTCCGCTACAAAATAACATCCGAGAACTATTCAATTTACTTCAGTTTTGCGACCCGTCAAAGAAGGCCTTTGACCTCGAACAAGAGTACGGCACGCTTTCACAGGAGAATATTACGAAGCTGCATGAAATGCTACGGCCTTTCTTCCTGCGACGGACAAAAGCGCAAGTGCTCACATTTCTTCCTCCAGTTGCCCAGATTATTGTTCCGGTCTCGATGTCTGTGGTACAGAAGAAACTATACAAATCTATCCTTGCCAAAAACCCTCAATTGATCAAGGCTATATTTCAGCGCAATGGGGCCAAGGCTTTGAAACAGGCCGAAAGACATAACCTGAACAATATTCTCATGCAATTGCGCAAATGTCTGTGTCATCCATTCGTCTATAGCAGAGCCATCGAGGAAAGAACTGCTGATAGGATGAAATCCCATCGGCACTTGGTGGATGCAGCTGGTAAACTTCAATTGTTGGAACTGATGCTCCCAAAACTCAAGGATCGTGGCCATAGGGTCCTCATTTTCAGTCAGTTTCTCGAAAATCTCGACATAATCGAGGATTTCCTCGACGGAATGGGTTTACCACATCTTCGCCTCGATGGTAGAATGAATTCGCTCGAGAAGCAGAAGACTATCGACGATTACAACGCGCAAGATTCGCCCTACTTCGCCTTTCTTCTCTCGACTCGGTCTGGTGGAGTCGGGATCAACCTGGCTACTGCAGATACTGTGATCATTATGGACCCGGACTTCAACCCCCATCAAGACATGCAGGCGTTGTCACGTGCTCATCGGATAGGGCAAACGAACAAGGTTCTTGTCTTCCAGCTTATGACCCGGAGCAGTGCCGAAGAGAAGATCATGCAAATAGGCAAGAAGAAGATGGTCCTAGACCATGTTCTTATTGACCGCATGGTGGCGGAGGAAGATGACGGGCAAGATCTTGAGTCTGTCCTCCGTCATGGAGCTCAGGCCTTGTTTGATGACGATGACTCTGGCGATGTACAATATGACTCTGAGTCTGTCGACAAGCTCCTTGATCGCAGTCAAGCCGAACAAGCCAAGGCGCCGGTTGAAGGTGACCCGGAGTCTCAATTCAGCTTTGCTCGGGTGTGGGCAAACGATAACCAGAATCTGGAGGATCGCCTACAGGAGATGACTGAGCAGACTGAGCAGGCGGTACCCAATGCTGACATCTGGGACAACATTCTGCGCGAGCGAGAACAAGCTGCAGCTGAGGAAGCCACGCGAAAAGCGGAGACATTTGGCCGTGGAAAGAGGAAGCGTACCAATGTTGATTATGGCAAAACTACCAGGGAATCGTCCCCCGTCGATGATCATATAATGCGGCTGGCAGACAGCGACGGGGAGTACCAGGCAGAAGACGCCGTTAACTCCGATTCCGACTTGGCCCCTGAGCTAGACCGTGAGGAACTGGCGATCATCCCCAAAAGGACTAAAGGTAAGTGCTCGGTGCTATTAGGGTTATCCGATTTTCACTAATGCAAGCTACAGTTCGGGAATTCGAAAGAATTGCTCCCATCAACTTGCCGCTGGCCATGGATGGCAGTGCGGAACCTGACCAAACTCAGCAACCAACTTGTATCGCATGCAAGCAGGCTCATCCTGTTGGTTCTTGTCGCTTGAGGTTGGCTGGTGTTGAGCATTGTCCTCTATGTGGTCTTGCCCACTACGGTTATTCGCGCACATGCCCGCACCTGAAGTCTGATGCACAAGTCGCCAGGATGCTGGACGCTATAAAGCATAGTACTGAAGACAAGGAGCTCGTTCTCCTAGCGAAAAAGTATTTGACTGGTATTCGTGGCAACCTTGCACATCGCAAGAGAAAGGAGGCCAGTAAGGCTGCAGCAAGCGGTGCGACTCTTCCTGCCTCCACCTCTATTGCAACCAGCTCCTCCGTTATCGACCTCACTACTGAACATCGTATGCAGCCACCTGGTCCAGCATTGATGAATCCTGTACAGTCTTTCCCCTCATCTACTCAGATACCTCAACACCATCCTACCAACAGGGTGTAGAGTGTACTTGAAACAGCACGTGACGGTGGTGATTTTGTTATTTTGTTCTCTTTCCATAGAGATTGATTCAGCGTTAGTTGGCTCAAGGGTCTCGGAGTTTGTGATATCATAGCATTGGCAGGAGTTGCATCAAAAAAGCTATGTAATTACATTTTGTTTAGACAAGCAATGGACCTGAGGCAGATAAACTGGGTCACATGTTCGTGATCTTGGCCTTCCTTCCTTCCTTTCTTCCTTCCTTCTGGTTGGCTCCGCTGGTTCAAACCAGAACATCCAGCCGACTGCATCTCGTTTGGGGATATCGATTTCAGAAGCTCAAAGTAGACTTCATCTCGTTTGTTGCCCTCCTCTTCTTTCCGCGCATCGCGCATTGCGTATTTGCAGAGACTCTTCGCAAGGCCGTTTGTGGATAATGCTGATCTGCTCATTCGTTGGATCGTTCGTGTCACCAACGTCACCCGCCGATATAATCGTTACTTTCTCCCTCCACGTTGCCAGCAGACCGCATCAAGGCTTATCGGAGATTGAATGTCAATGTCAGGACTGGAAACGAGATATGGGTTGACCCTCTCAGGGGACACTCTTTCAGGGACAGCAGGGGCAAGCAAAGCATATCTGTCTATCGACTTGATCCTCGACCTTTGGCCGTTGAATTCACCCGGAATCAATTGATGCAAAAAGATAACATGGCTTAATTCAGAGGTATGAGGATGGTGGAATTAGTCCGGCACGAGATATCATCCAGAGGCTGAATTAATGGGAGAGACAGCAATTGCGCCTTTTCCACTGAAGCGGACCAAAGCCCCCATAACATGCGACCAGCGAGGAGGCTGCAGCCATCCGGGACGGTTGTACTGGCGAGCATCATCGGACAAACACTGACGGCATTTAGTCATGGCTGGATCTGGACCCTGCGACTGCTCTTATCCTCTGCGGAATCTTCGCGCTGGTATTTCTTTTTCTTTTTCTTTTTTTCTGGTCTTTTGCCAATTCTCGGCCGGTTGAGAATCTTGTGATTTGCATTGGATTCTCTGGGCGGCGAACATTAGATGTGTTCTCAGCCTGGCTTTTTATACTCTTGTTCCTATCGCTTCTTTTTTGCGTGACTGTTTCTGCAGGGTTATTAGTGATATAACACCGATCTCTGCAAGCTCACACACCTGGGTTACTCTTGTTCCTGGTGTGAATGGTGTATCGTTCTCTGTGTGGTGTTATCAACCCCTGTTGCCAACGCCTGTCTCAGTGAATGTCAACTGATTTTTGCGGACCAGTGATTCACTGATCTTTAACACAGTCTTTCTTTCTGTTTATTTCTCTGGATTCTCTTCTCTCTTCTCTTCCTTCTTTTGATCTCTTCGCTGTGATCGTGTTCCCCTCTTTACTTTCATCCATCTACCTCTATCTCTCCACCATCTGTCTTTACACTCTTTCCTTTTCATCTCCCATGGCGATATACTTCATCTTCTAGCATAGGTTATATCGCTTCCTGACACTCAGCTTCTCATCCGTCTATCCCTGCCAAAGACTGGGTTGCAAGTTCGCGTTGCCAAGCAGCCATGTCTTCGCCGATTCGCCCTCAGTTTTTCTGTACTCGCCCAAATGGCACCCTCACCCCCCTGGTTGCTGTCGACGAGCTACCCTCACATATCTCAATTCGCGGTGCTCCCCGTACCCTCTCGCCAAGCGAAACTCAAGGCATGACTAGTTTGGGAATTGTCAGCTCTAGATTACAATTCTATGTCCTCGAAGGCGCTCTCTCAAATACAACTCGCGCGTCATCCAGTAACGCACCTGGACACCGCTCCCGCGACAATGATGTGCAGGCGACGCTTATGAGTCTTGCTTCCGATGAAAACATACCAGTGAGTCAGAGAGTTGCTATCAGTGCGCTACTGCAACATGGTCTATCTCAGAACTGGTTTGCGACACCTTCATCATCTAGCGGCTGGCTGGTCCCAAGCAGCAATGTGAATCCCCCAGGAAACGGTACTGCTAGACAGGTACGTGTTACTTGATATGCGACACGCTAGAAAGGCGCCAAGTTCCAAGGGAATGAACTTGACTAACCCTCTTGCAGAGTCCCCACTACAACTCGAAGAAAGAGTACTGCTCTTATTGGATCCGTCATGGCGAATGCGACTATCAGCAACAAGGCAAGCGGCTCATATTACATTGGGATAACATTGACTCTAACATTTGCCATAGGATGTCTCTATAAGCATGAAATGCCTCACGATTTGTCCATGCTAGAGAAGCTTGGTCTGCGCGACATCCCTCGCTGGTACCGCGATAAGTACAATATCCCCAGCCTACTTCCCAATGGTCATGGACATCCTCGTACCCCCCTTAACCATACACTCCCTGCACCCGATGGTGGTTCCTATAAATCACTTCCGTATCACCCGCGCTTGGGTATGAATGAAGCCCTTGACGCGCCTGAGATAAAGAAGGAACCTGAACAGGAATTTGCTGCAAACCAGCTCTCCATTCAGCAATCTCCATTGGGATTCCCTGGTGCCTCAAGGCTCGCTTTGCCGGCGATGGACGTAGCGAAGACTTCTAAGGCTCAGAGGGTAGAGCCAAAGCACACTTCCAGCTCCAAGAATCTGGCTCTCAGGAAGCTCGATCTTCTGTCTTTTGAGCCGCTCCCGGAGTTTGACTACTCATCCTTGAAGCCTGCCAATGGAAACAACTCGCCTGCTTTTGATCATCCACACGCGCAGAACAGTACTGCTTACAAGAACGCTGTCACTGATCCGTTCGAAGGCAACTGCAGAGATTCGCGTGGAAGTTTCGGCAGTATCCAACATTTCTTACCTGCCTCTCTTGGTATCAATCCGTGCCAGGGTTCAAGCATCTTGCGGGATGCTGCATCTCAGGGACGTTCCAAGAAGACGCATAGGTCCCGTCGTTTGTATCAACCTCGATCACAGTTTCCAACGGAAGACCCAAGCTCTGAGATGGAAGAGCGAGTCGCTGGGGCGAGTTATTCTAGCCAGGCCACTCTTCCGTCGAATTGTACATCGCCTGCCTCAAGGGTCACATTCGGGACTTTCGATTCTCTCCAGGCGCATGTTTCCCCGGGTCTCATGCATGGATGTGCCGCATCCGAGCCGCCTACTCGAGATGCTTCCCCTGCTACACACTCTAGTACTGCTTCATCTGAGTCCAGCCCTGGAAAGCGTCGCAATCGCGTCAAAGGCAAGAGCCACAAGCCCAATTCCGGCACCTTTGGTCAGAAGGTTTATCGCCAACGCTCTGTCGGATCTTCCGAAGATGAATTTTTCGGCGGCCTGTCCATGGAAGAGGAGAAGTAAATAGAGACCGGAGGGTGCTCACATATTTATGGTCCGAGGCTTTCTTTTACTTGATCGAAAATCAGCTATTTGCTGACTCCCCATCACACATAAATATGCGACTTTGCGGCTTTTCCATGTGCTACAATGCGAACTACTATGATATGCTACACGGGATCTCCTTTGCGGAATAAATATACCTAGAAGGAACGGAGGACTCCCCACTTGACTTGACGTTGACGTTGGAATGAGAGAAAACGGAGGTTCTGTTCGCCTACTACTACTAATCTAGCCTTGAAGGCGAAACCTGTATCCGAACACAGTGCTTCTTTCCCGGCGCCGTTCGCACATCATGTGTATGCTGTCAATACTATGCTGTTGTTGTATTTTCTTTCTTCACATTCTGCTTCCAAGTTTCCTCTTTTCCCAGTTTTCATTTTCGTTGCCTCTACCCCGCTCTCTTGTTCGGAAAGACACGGTCTCGTGTGCGAAATGTAATATAGCAGAGGTCAAGTCTATATTTGGATGGGAGTTGGACGGAGGCGATGGATTCGAACATGTGAAATATGGAGCACAGGCATGCCCTGATGCAATGAAACAGCCGTTAAGCTTTGCAGACACTTGTACCCCTCTTGATAAATCTCGAACATGATGAATCTTTTTAGATCGTGTAAGCACCTTTGTACTCTGGTAATGCGTGGATCCTCTCTTTTCCTTATCGCTCGACGGGAACACAACCAGGACCCCCGCCCTCCCAGTGCCATATCTGTGAAGATGGAATGAAGTATAATACATTGATATGATGATTCTAGTACAACCCTGCAGAAAAGAGCAATTTGCGCCACCCTGTTTTGATCTGAGCTTACAGAGATTTCCGGGAAATTCGAAGACAAAATAGGAGAAAGGACCAGAAGAAAGAAAACCAGAAGAAAACGAGCTCCAAGACCAGACACACATCATACACACATATATAGACAAAAGTCCCTGAGCCCCCGGCAAATGATTCCCCAAGACGGGATTATCCATCGTCACACCCGTACACACGCGCGCGCGTGCATTAATCATTAGAGTCTCATGTGGGCGTGGGAGGAAGGGGAGGGGAGGGGAGGGTTGGATTCTCTGCGCACAATCTCCTCCCCGCCCTCAGCGCATTCTACGCTGCGGGGTTCTCGCCCCGACCTTGACACCGACCTTCCCGCCCTTCTGGTCCTCCTTGCCGGGGAGCCTGGCCATGGGGGCGGAGCTCAGCGCGGGCAGGGTCTTGATGGCCTCGGAGATGATCTGGTTCCCGTCGACGACGCCGTCGGGTAGTTGCTCCAGCTTGCGGGCCGTCTGGGCGGCGCGGTGGGCGTCGAGCTCGCGGCGGCGCTCGGGGGTCATGGCCCACTCGTCGGGGAAGCGGAGGCGGGTCTTGGGCTTGTGGTGGCGGAGGTCGAGCGGGACGTCGGCGAAGCTGTCGCCTTCCTTGGCCTCCTTGATCAGGGTCTGGATCAGGTCACCCAGGTAGCGCTTGTTCTGGGCGCGGTGCTGGAACTTCTCGCACGACATGCGCACGATGTCGGTGTCCGGGTTGTAGCGCACGCCGACGAGCTTGAGGAATGTCTGGCGCTGGGCCTCGGTCAGGTGCGTGGGGGTCAGATCCTTGGAGGCCAGCTCGACCACCACCTTGTGCTGCGCCGGGTGCTCTTCTCCCAAGTAGGTCGTGTACCGGAAGCGGAGGATGTGGGTTTCGGGAGGCAGGGTGAAGGGTTTGGCGAGTTCTGTGAAAGAGAGAGGGGGATTCAAGTTAGCTAAACCTGCGCTTTTTTTTTTTCTGGATGGTGCTTCGTTCTCAAGCTGGGGGTAGGGATCAAGTTCAAGTAGATGCTACTCCCCCCCCCCCCCCCCGGGAGTCAACGAAGCGCGGAAGGGGGCAAGTCATACTGCTCAATGACGGCATATCCCAGGCGGCGATCCGCGCGTATTCTCTGATCTCACGGTGCTCTTCCAGCTCGGCATAGGCCATGGTCGTGATGTCGTCGTCGTTGAATTCGTCGTCCATATCGTCGGTAATACCGAACTCGTCGGGCTCCTCCTCCGCCCAGAATCCCTTGGGCCGGAAGTCTGTAGCCAGAAAGCGAAAGGGTTCGACGTGCTTGTCAATCGCGGCGATTCTCTGGTCGACCTCCGCCATGCGGGCCTTGCGTTTTTCCGGGTCGTTGAATTCGGCGATCATGCTCTTGTTCACCTCGTCGAAGGCCGCGCGGTCTTCCGGGGACATCATGTCGTACAGGGACCGCTGCTCCGGGGTCAGGTTCTCGGGCGAGTACTCCGGCAGGTTGGGGTAATCCTCCAGGCGCCGTGGGCGAGCCTCAGGGATGACCGGATCTTCGGGCATGCGGGAGAGCGGCGTGGCGGAGAAGGAGCGGAAGGAGTGGTTGGCGATGGGACCTCTCCGGGCCAGGGAGAAGGCCGAGCGGCCCAGAGACCTGGCTACTGAGGCCATTGTGAGGAGAGGGAGAGGAGAAATGAGGGAGGGAGGTGTGGTGGGCGGAGGATTGGAGGGTTTGGATGTTTTTTTGATGGTGATGGGGATTGGATGGGATTGGACTGGGCACTATGCCTTTTTGGGAAGGCGGCCCTTTCAGCTGAGCGACCGCCATCCCAATTGCTGGACATTCCGGACAGTATGCGACTCGAGTAAGTGGTCAGTTAGCTTCGCATCTTATCATTTCCTATGTAACAAGCAACATTAACTGACGTCTGCAGAGATATGTCCTGAGTCACTTATATTAACTAAAATGCCTGTCTGACGATCCCATTCAATTAAGCCCAAATCAGGCATGCATACCTCTGTCTAGCTGGCTGGTGCCTAGTCACAGTGCTGATAATCAACTTCTTAATCCCCCACCTACTACTTGGCTACATATTCCCGAGTATTTGCTCTGTTAATCGATCCACTATCCCATCGATATACAAATAAGCCTTCCACCATGGCGATGCCGGACCAATCCCTGAAGTTCTGCTTCGTGACTGTGGGAGCTACCGCTTCTTTCAACCTCCTCATTCAGTCGGTACTAGAGCAAACCTTTCTACGTGAGCTGCGCGCACACGGTTACACCAACCTGCTGGTCCAGTACGGCAAAGACGGCAACATCCTCTTCGATGAATTCCTGCGCCAGTATCCTCCCGGTAGTGAGGGCCAGCACGGCCTGCTGATCGAAGGATTCGACTTCAATCCCGACGGATTGGACAATGAAATGCGTCTTGCCAAGGCCTGGCCCACGGAAGGTCGAGTTGGGGGTCTAATTGTCAGCCATGCCGGTATAGTTGTACCTTCGCTTGTTGACTTCCCAATGCGCAAGCTGACCACGATGACTCCAGGATCTGGCAGCATTATGGATGCATTGAGATTGGGCGTGCCTCTTGCGGTGGTACCGAACCCGACCCTCAAAGACAACCACCAGCAGGAGCTTGCCGATATCCTCCAAGAACAGGGTTATCTCATTTCGAGTCACTATCAGTAAATTCTTCACGCCCTGCTTGTGTGGTGGACGCCGAGCTGACCTCCAATTAGGGAGATTGCGACAGCAGTCGATAGGGCTGAACGCCTGCGAGTTCAGATGGCCAAATGGCCGCCGGTCTCCAAGGCCCAGGAAGTCCCCCCCCCAAGCTTGGATCAAGTCATGTCTGACGAATTGGGCTTCTTGGATTGATGGTCTGTCACGGCCCAGAGACTGATACTCATCACAAATGTATTATTGTGGACGAATTGCAATGGCGTTGCGGAGCGTGGGTACTTTTAGTATAGAATAGGAAGGGCTTTGGATGGTTGCAATCACCAATGGCGCATTAGCATCCATAGTTGAGGTTTAGTGGTTTTCGCTAACTATGAGCACGTTGATCATCTCTCCTCGATCTCAGATATAAACCCGAGGTACGTAGTATAAAAGAAGTATAGGAGAATGGGGTGTTAAAGAGAAGTTGAAGTCGAGGATTGTTGGTGGAGTGGCCCAAGCTTCTCCGCGCGGGCAGATCCAACTAAACCGACTGACTTACTTTCCCTTCCCCGAAACGCGCAAAAAGAACCACCACCGACTTTCTTGTCCTTTTCATCCCTTCCCTTTTCTGCCCTCCCACGCATTGCTCTTCTACCATCTATGTCTTTGGAAAACTGTATCTCATAAGCTCAAACGTATTCCGACCAATTCCTTCATCCTACCAGTCCTCTAACGCGGCCGCGGGGGCCTTCCACTGCATATAAACAATCGACGACCGAAAACACCCGCTCCGAACCTCAACCAGCGCTCCGCTTCCCCTTTCCTGCCCCCTCCCCACAATGGCAGAAGCCACCCTTCACAACGCCCCGATAGTCATCGACAATGGCAGCGGCACCATCCGCGCCGGCTTTGCGGGGGAGGAGATCCCCTCGTGCTTCTTCCCCTCGTTTGTCGGTCGGCCCAAACACCCGCGGGTGATGGCCGGTGGCCTGGAAGGCGACGTCTTCATCGGCTCCCGCGCCCAGGAGCTGCGCGGCCTGCTCAAGATTCGGTATCCGCTGGAGCACGGCATCGTCACGGACTGGGACGACATGGAGAAGATCTGGCACTATGTGTACGAGAACGAACTGAAGACGCTGCCGGAGGAACACCCCGTGCTCTTGACGGAGCCACCGCTCAACCCGCGCAAGAACCGCGATGCCGCCGCCCAGATCATGTTCGAAACCTTCAACGTCCCCGCGCTGTACACCTCCATCCAGGCCGTCCTGTCGCTATACGCGTCCGGCCGGACGACGGGCGTGGTGCTCGATTCAGGGGATGGCGTGTCCCACGCGGTGCCGGTGTTCGAGGGCTTTGCCATCCCCAACAGCATCCGGCGGATCGACGTCGCCGGGCGGGACGTGACGGAGCAGCTGCAGCTGCTGCTCCGCAAGAACGGCCATGTGCTGCATACCAGCGCGGAGAAGGAGGTGGTGCGCATGATCAAGGAGAAGGTGTGCTACGTGTCGCTGGACCCCAAGCGGGAGGAGAAGGATTGGATGAACAACTACCACAAGTCGGAGACCAAGTCGGTGGACTATGCTTTGCCGGACGGGCACAAGATCAAGGTACGAGTTTGTGATGCGTGGACGCGACATGTTTTTCTCTAACAAGCTACGCATAGATCGGGCAAGAACGCTACCGCGCGCCGGAGATCCTCTTCGACCCGGAGCTCATCGGTCTGGAGTATCCGGGAGTGCATCAGATTGTCCAAGATGCGATCACCCGGACGGATCTCGACCTGCGCAAGTCCCTGTACCTCAACATTGTCCTCTCCGGAGGCTCGACATTATGCAAGAACTTCCCGGATCGGTTGATGCGGGAGATCAAGCGCTTGGCTGTGGAGGACATGAAGATCCGGATCTCGGCTCCTGCTGAGCGGAAATACACGACCTGGATTGGAGGAGGTATCCTCGCTGGTTTGAGCACATTCCGCAAGGTAATCGTCCCGCATTCGAAATTGCTTAGAGTGATGGCTAACGAGGACCACCAGATGTGGGTGAGCGCGGACGAATGGCACGAAGATCCCGAGATTATTCACCGGAAGTTCGCTTAATCGTGATGCATCGCAGGACGACGTCCCGATTGAGGACAACATGACATGATCGACGGACAACGACCCCATCGCGCAGAAGTCAGTGGATGCATCTAAGGGCACGAATGACGAGCATGCACGAAGGGGATGGCTGTCTAAGCTGGTCCCTGAAGAAGTCCGGGGCCAACCCATAACCAACAGCAGCCTTTCCATTAGATACCCCTGCACCCTTTTCAATCTCTCTGCCTTCGACACTCCAAACAACTATCCACCTCTTCTAAAGCACCCCAGATGATACGTTTCGTGCATATATTCCTCGACGACCATACAACCTATCACTTCTATGTATGCCCCTATGCACGTGCACGCGCACGCGTACACGCAACCGAGACAAGGTGCATCCGATCCCAACTGTCACACCTCTCGGCTTGGCAAGTATCGTCACTGGCCTTGCTGGGACGGATCATTCACCAAGCCAATCGCAATCTGAGGTCTTCGACATGAATTCTCAGTGGTGCTGGGGAGTGATTTTAACGAGTAAATTGAGCGATGACAATCAACATTTCCCTCTTGCTCCTTGTCAAGTGGTCTCCAACCTCTTCCCTTTGACTGTACTTTTTTTGTGTAAATATTGGATGGCATAGATGAGATGAGATGGATGAGCGATTGACCCAGTTTCTTGAATGACCGCTGCATGGCACCGCACCTCTTCCCACTTCCGGGAAAGTCTTTGCGACCTGCAACCCAGCGCCGAATATCGGGCTGAGGGAGCGCGCAAAGAGAATCCACCGTACTGTACGTTTGACAATAACAACAGCCAATCTAATGGAGTAGCGTGCGCGCAGATGGTGACACCAAGCGCACCAAGCCCAGCCCCTCGGTCCCAAAGCCCACCCAACTAGTGGCTGTATGCTATACTATACTGTTCCACCATGTTGACACCGTCAGGCAGGGCGATAGGTCGAGTAGTCCAGCCTAGAAATAAGTCGCCGTGCTCTTGGGTCTACATGTTTCCGACCAATTGCGTAAGGGATCTCTTCTTGCATGGAAATCCAAGTCCTACTATCTGTCCAACCCTCCTCATATGGAACTGTTTCGTGTTAAGGAAACCCTCAGGGTAGACTCCTACGGCGGTGTCCATTGACAGAGAAAAGACGTGACGTGGTATAGTATCGCACGGTGATGGCCGACGACAAGAGACATGAAGAAGGGCCAGTGAAAAAAAAAAAAAAAAAAAAAAACTTACAGTACAGTCGCCCTCAGGCAATCTGGCAATCTGGCAACCCCATACATCCAAATCGTTCAACCTTCCGTTACCCTACCGAGTTGCAAGTATACCTTATTTCTTTACTAAAGTACCCAGCCCCTACCAACATGACCAGGACATGACCACAATCCCCAGTCCACTCAGTCGTTCGGCAATTTACCATGGAGACAATCCGATACCCCCAAAGACCAGACAAAATCCACCCAGCTCATCGAAGAATCTCTTGATGAATTCCCACAATTACGAACCCCCCCCCAAAAACCTCGCCACAGTGTACAGTACAATAGTACGTATGACACCGATTTATGTAATATGTGATATGTACTGTACAGCACAAGCACAGCTCTCGATCAACCTCTCGAATGGAATCTAGACCCGATCCTGATGAACCCCCCCAATCCACTCGAGCCTCGGGGTGCGTGCTGGAGGAAAGAAAGAAAGAAAGAAAGAAAGAAAGAAAGAGAAAGGCTTTCTTTCATCATAAGTAGGTCAAGGGTTTTAAGGTTTGGTTGGAGCCATCCCGAGCGAGGTGCGGGCTGTGGTGGTTCACTGAAGGCTGGGCCCTGGCTGACATCTCCGCCGCCGCCCCCGGATTCTTTCGTCCTTTCGTACGAGTACGAGTACTCGAGTTGGAGACTCGACTCGGGAGGTCTCCACTCTTGCTTAGGGATTGAGTTTGTGTTGCGAGGATGACTTTCGTCCTCTCTCTATCGCGTTTGCACTCTCTGGGTTTTGTGTGGGTATTGGGTTGCTGGGTCTGTGCTACTGTACTCTTGGGGTTTGGGATGGCTAGGTATGTCTACTGTAAGGGGAGGGTGGTTTTACAGTATTGGAGGGAAAAGGTTTGGCTTGTCTGTTCTTGGTTTCATTGCACACGCTCTCGGGGAAGTAGCTAGCTAAGGGGTTGTACAGGAGATAGTGTTCTGCTCATTCATTCGTTCATGTGTGAGGAATGGAGGAATTTCAAGTACATGAGCTGTAGCTTTGAGTATGTTGCGATGCGGTGGATGAAGGTCCCAGGATTGTTGTGTTGAAGTTTGAATGGCAGACAAGACAAAAGGAAAAAAAAAAAAAAAAAAAAGAGAGGGGAAAAAATGCCATGCGATGTTGATCCAGTATTGAATCAAATTTCAAACATAGCTGGGTGGGGTATCATGTTGAAGAGATGTGAATGCGATTCGAAGGTTGAAAGTTGAGATGAGTGTTTCAAATCTCATGGAGTGTAAACAGTAGCACCCCTTGTTGGTTGACGGTTGAAGGTTCAAAGAAATTAGATAGATGCGTAGTTGGGCGGAGAACAAATGCAGGTAGAGGTCGAATCCCCCCGAGCCGGAAAAGTAAGGCGGCAAAATCAAGAACTTTTTTTGGGTGGGAGTCGTAAAGTCGTGAGTCATGATCCAGAAGGACGAAGTTCGCAGGCGCTTTGGTGAACAAGCAGAGGCTGATAAATGAATAAGTTGGAAAGTCGCAAAGGACTGCTTCTTTGGTGGGTTGGTTGTCCCGGGTTGGCTGGCTTAGGCCATGCCCCGGAGCTTGCCCCAGCCCTTATTTAGGCCTCGGAGAGCACGCTCGCGCGCGGAGCCAGAGCTGCTGCTGGTGCCGTTGCTGCTGGCGGAGAACTTGCGCGACAGACTGCTGGACGAGTCGTCGCTGAAGACCATGTTGCCGGCACCGCCGCGGCCGACGTGGTAGACGGGCGCGGCGCGGCGGAGCTCCCGTTCCAACTCCTCGTCGAAGCTGAAGATGGCGCGCTCGCTGCCACTGTGGACGTTGCCGGCGCCGCCCCGGCCAGACTTGAAGGTGCTGGGCACGCGCGAGTCGAGGCGCGTCAAGGACGCCGGTCCCGAGGCCGTCTGCGAGGGAGTGGTCTTGGTGCCCTTGAGATTGATGACATTGCCGGCGCCTCCACGAGCCGTGTGCAGAGCGGGACGGCCGGTGTGAGGAACCGAGGGGTGCGGTTCAATGACTCGATATGATCCCGGCATGGTGGATTGTGTTGAGTGTGTGTGTGTGTGTGTGTGTGTGTGTGTGTGTGTGTTGTATGTGGGTTGTGGTGGTGTGCGGGTATGAAGAGGTATGTATGCAATTGCGCTAATTGGCGATGACTCAATGCAGCGATGATGCAATGCGATGAGAGACAAGACGTGCAATTGGGACTCGGTTTATATGCGAATTGGTATCGAGTCGAGAGTGTGGGTATTAGGAGTGAATGGGTGAGGGGTGAGGATAGATATCCCACGCAGGCTGAACAGTGAAGTATGAGTATGAAGTGAAAGAAGACGCACAGCAGGGACTGTGGTTAAAGTATATGATTCAAAGAAGAAAAAGAGAAAGAAAAAATTTTCTTTTTCTCTTTTATTTTTCTTTTTCCCTGATGGAAATCCACACGCTTCTTTCAAGGATGTCGTGATGCTGGTACTAACTATCCACTATAGCCTCGACCCAGAGGTTGTGGCGGGGACGGAGTTATATAGAATGGGGGAGCAGCCCCCTTTGTGACGGCAGGACGACTCATGATTGCACCACGGGACAAGCCGAGTAAATTCAGTTGGAGCATTTCTGAGAATTCTGGGAATTATGGGAAGTGAATTTCCCATTCCAGGCACCGCAAAAGAAAGAGCCCGCCAAAGCCAGCCCAGCCAGGGTCACACGCGGTGGGAAGTGGAGCGCCAGCAAATTTTCTGCTGGAGCTGGAGAAAAAGACCGTGAAAAATGAGTGAAAAAAGAGTTTGCCGGCTGAACCGCGCGCATAACGTCGGATGCTGAGGCGGGCGCCTGTAAAAGCAGCATTGAGGAACGTGTGCGCGAGACCGCAGGACTGGTCGGGAAGCAGTGCTGCTTTTAGGCTGAGCCCAGTTGTTGCGATCATCTGACAAACAAGTTCCCACTCCCCGCGGGACTAAAACGTAACAGAAACTGCCCGCTGCACCAATCAGCCGCCGACGCAACGCCCAGTGCAGTTTCCTGGGGGTAATGGAAATGGTGGAAATGGTGGAAATGGGCTGGTCAGTCACGCGTCATCGTCGAGTCTTTTTTTTTTTTTTTTTTTTTTTTTACCTCAGTTCTTTGCATTTACTCAAGTAGTTGATGAATCTATTGAAGTGTAAGTAGGGATGGACTAATTGGAGGCTTTGGAGGTAAGGTGACAACAATTGCAACTATGCCAGTCTTGGCTCCCTCGTGGCTCAACGAGTACCTCGTAGCTCGTAGTTACTCCCTACTACTCATACTCAATTGAGTAGTTCTGAAATTGAGAGTACTCCGTATATTTTTATTCTTCTCAAATGAATTACTATTAGTAAATTAGTAAATAGTGGGTGGTGGGCAGATGCAGACAAGCCACGCTAACCCTCATTGCTGGGCGCTGGGCTGCTGCGTTTCCCCGCAAAAAGCCATCGGAGGAACAGTACACTTGCATCATCGCTGCCTTGGCCTCCCTCCCTCGCTGTACATTCAGAATACCTTCCATACTTCCCTTCGGTCACCTCAACAACGAGCCCAACAAGGGCGGATTGACCGCCATCCTGAGTACCCCTCGAGTACTGCGATTACGAGAGAAATTGCGCGAATGATGCCAGTTTTCAGGTAGTCATCCCACTGCAGGATGATGCTGATCAGGCACAACTAGCGGAATGAACGAGAAGAAGCTAATCCTGCCGTCGCTCGCAGCGTCTGAAGACGTTATTGTGCAGCCGCTTGCACCATTGTGTCCAAGTCCAAGTGTCCGTGTGTCGATGGAAAGGGGGAGAATCAGGAGAATCAAGGCATCACGGAATCACGGTGGTGGTTGAATCCTCGGTTTGTTGATGTTCGAGACCATCGACGTTTAGTCACGTTAGCCCCGATTGATCGTGCGAAGATCATCCACCATCCACCATCCACCCGCTGCCCCTCTTGCTCTCTCTCACCGCCCTTAATGAGATTGTGTGATTCAGTCCACTCCCTGCCCATCATGCTCATAGCCTCATTTCCATTGGCATTGGTGAGCTACAGAAAGAGCCTTGCTGGCCAGCCAGCCCCCGTTCTCTTCTTCATCATCGTCGTCGTCGTCGTCGTCGTCGTTGTCGTCTTCGCCTGCCTCGTCAGGTGGACAGCTGGAAATCCCACCCAAACCGACTCAGTCATCAGTCAACCCTGAGTAAGGAAGAGCCGCTAGCCCCAAGAGGGACAGCTTCCCCAGAATTAGCAGAATTTTTTTCCTGAAACGACTCAAACGAGGTGACCGGCCCTAATGGAGAGGGGCCAAACGAAGGATGACGATGGGACCCCCCACCCCTTTCTCCTCGAATGCCAGAAATGCCTCACTGTGCCAGTGTGCAATTCAGCCGGTGCACTGGCCATTGATGCTATTTTCCTCTCCTCGAGTCCTCCCAGGGGTATGAATTTTTCACCCTTTCCCCACACGACAGGGCTGCTGCGTTAGTCACCTTCCCGGGCCAGATTGGCGGTTATTGCGAGTGACACTTGGCGCTGGAAGACATCTCCAACTCTCCAACCGTCTCAGGGGAAGGAGAGGGGGGAGGAAGCCCTGAGGGGGCGCATAACCCCTCGGATTGTCGGATTGTCGGTAGTAGTGCATGGTTGTGTAAATTGCAGTGCATTCAGACATTTGCGAGAATTCTGGTTCCTGAATGGTCATGACAACCGAGCCGGTCCAGCCGGCAAATCGCCGGCTCCGCATGCATTACTGGCCTGAGGCGGCCAGGCGGCCACGGGAACGGTTCCAGTGAGGTTCGACTTGCTTCTTCCCCGGATTTTCCTGCCGGCATGGCTTGTTTCATCAGTCAGCATCTCCTCTAAGTTCTGAGGAAATAATCTTTCCCCTCTTTCCTAACCCCCGCGCTGCTGAGCATGACGTCCCCAACCAAACTTCACCTTCCTCTGAACTTCCGGATCATTACTCCGTAGCGAGGTCATTCCCCAACCCTCGGCTGATGCTGGATCACATTTTCCCCAAATGCTGGAAACGCCGACTACGCCGATTTGTGGGGGTAATGGCAGCACCTGATCATTACAAGTCCCTGACTCCCCGCGGACAAGGTCATGAACCACTCCTTACCGTCCCTTGAATCCGGGGATAGAGTGATACGTGTAGAGATCCAATTTTGGACCTCGAGTACGCGAGAGGCAAGAACATGATGACTCACGGGACCAGCCCTTCTGCCAGTGGCCACTTCGTCGACCTGCTCGGGGCGTTCCCCCTTCCCCCAGCTGCGGTGCAATTACCATCCAAGGAACCACCCCCGGGGCTCCGGATTATCTCCTCTGCTGCCCTGATGATCATGAATAATCCTAGCCAGTCGAGACTTTTTCAATCACCGTTTTTCGAGGTGTTCTGCATGGTTGGATATTCTCTATTTGCTGCTTTCACCTTCGCTTGTTTGGCCTCCTGGCAATGCAAGGTGCCCAACAGTCGAGGCTCGTTTGGGCCTCGATCTCAATAGAGGATCTCATTGTAAGAGCAAGGAACCGAGGGTCGTTTGAGCTTCCTTCCTTCGTCAGAGTGACTGTTGTGGCTCATTTCTCTCGACCTTGTCGTAGACATAGATAGTGGCGTCAACTGTGAGTCAACTCTACCATCTTCTGATGTCTAGCTGGCAGTCTGCGAGGCTGAAATCTGGTCGGCAAGTGAGTTCATCATCTGCTCGGTGTATAGATCTCGCCAGATGGGTCTCATACTCGCGTGGAATCCAGTTTGTCATGCCCGCGGCGTTCTATCGGTAAAGCCAACGTGCAGCAGATATGGATATATGTTCTAGGACAGCCCACCTCGAGACTGCTGATCGTGATCAAGGCAGTTGCTATCCGCCGCAGACAATGGGAAATCACTCGCAGAGTGGATGCATAGCCGTAGTATAGCATAGTTGGCACAAGACCACATGCCTCAACAAACACATTTGAACACGAGGAGATCTCTGGGATCATGCAAAACTTCGGTTTCCAGTCAAGATATTGCACCATTACACTGTCCCACGAACAGTCCCCGTTGTAGCATTGAATCTTTGGCAAAGTCTGTGAAGGGACTGCTGTCTCACCAGCTCAGGATAGTTTTCGTATCGACTGATAAGAAGTCCACACATATGCATGCACGCAATGTGCCGACTTAATGCAGCTGCTTTTCGGCACGATCCAGGAACTGTTCTATATATTGGATGCCTGAGGCTCCAAGACCGGGCTGAGTATTCTGCCCAATGATACCGCCTTGATATCGTCTCGAACTCCGCCGCCAGTCATTCGTCTCCGACTCAGTCAAAAATTCCGAGTATCCAACAATTCTACGCGCTAAACTCATACCTCAACAATTTGAACACCCGACTCTCATTTCTAGCTCATACGAACCGCGCTTCACACACTTTGAACGAACCGTCCCGTCCAAGCGCAACGCGCCGATCGAGCGCTGCTGAGCGAAGCTTAATCCGCCTCCCAAGAGCAATCGCTATCTCAAGATCAAGATGCCCAAATATAAGTATTCGATCAGTTATTTACCAGAAACCTACTGACTACTCCTCACTCTTCTGTAGGTCATATTCTACTCTTACACCATTCTCGACCTACGCGATTCCAGTGGTCTCGTGCCTGCGACATCAAGAACTCCGTGCACATCGCGAGATCCCATCCTAGTACCTTCCAGCCACGCCACAACTGAACTGACCGACAACTTTATACAACAGGTGACTACTGCGATGTCTACCTTACGCATGACTCGATGAGTGTGCGCAAGGCGCACAACTCTGGCCGCAACCATTTGAGAAACGTTGTGGAGTACTACCAACGTACGACGTCCCTCGTCCGATGTCAGCCCTGCAATGAGTCCGCAACCATTATCTAATATCTTCACAGAGATCGGACAAGAAAAGGCTCAATCCGTCATTGACTCCATCACATCATCATACGCCGCCGAAGGCCAGGCTGTACCCAACCCTGCGATGGTTCCTCCGGGCGCCTACCCCCCTCCCTTTGGATTCCCCGGTATGTTTCGCAAACCGTGCCCCAACGCTCCGCACGAATCGAAAGATTGATCGACGACTGATTGATTGCTTCCAGGCCGCCCAGGTCAACTGCCTCCTCCTCCCTTCGGGATGCCCGCACCTGGCGGAGCTCCCGGAGCCCCAGGCATGCCTCCTCGTACGTGCCCCCCAGTGCATACATACCTTGCGCCTCCCGCACGCAGCACTCTGCCCTCCTTAATCCCAAGCTATATAAATGTATAGATATATCTAGCTAACAAGACTCGCAGCCCCTGGAGCAAGAGGCCTTCCCTTCCCACCCCCGTTCCCCGGCGTCGGCGGCCCCGGTGCCCCTGGTGGTCTTCCGGCCCTACCCAATATGCCCCCCGGCGCCCAGGGATTCCCTCCCATCCCACCCCCCGGCGGATTCCCCGCTGGATTCCCCACGCCTCCTCCCGGTGCAGCAGGGTTCCCCGGCCTGCCTCCCCCGGGCCAGCTTCCGCCAGCCGGCTACAGTCCCAGCCCGACCCCCGGGATCAATGGCCCGCCCGGGTCCGATGCATATGCCCATGCTGCTCCACCCCCTGGCATGGGTCCTTCGTCTCTGCCTGGCCCGCCTCCGGGGTTGGGTGATAGACGATGAGAACCCTCCCCTCGAGGAGCTTAATGTCTTGATTGTTTCTACACATTGCATTTGATCTCATATCTTTTCCGCACCAAAACATCTCATGGACTCTGTCTGTCCCCACATGTTCGAAATTTACCTTTTATACCTCCCTCCACCTTGAACGCTTGGTCTGTTGCTTAGACTGTACTGTGGTCATGTTTCTCTTCCCTCTCTTTTCTCCATTTCTTCAAATCCTGGCGTGGTCTCTGAATATGATATTTGGGTTTTATCTTATCTGGTGTTATCATGTTTTTTTTTCCCTCTCTTTAAACGAAAGAAAGGAGGAGTGGAAACAGTTGATTAGGAGAATGAATAAGATGATGATTAGAAGCAAAAAACTTGTTGGCGTTCAGAAAATGGGCACCAGGCCTTGTGATGGGAACGCGTCCCCGGCGGCTGATTCGCTGGTAGATCTAAACCGCGCCGGTTTATATACGTAGCTGTCCCCCAATCTACAAGGTACAGCACCTGCAACAACTCGGTACATTTCCCGGCACGCATAGGGAATCAACGTGTCAAGTTCCATAGCCTACGATACTTCCGTCTTCTGTTCTCTTCTTCCCGTTCTCAAGGTTCCCTTTTCCCCGATACTCACAAGGAAGACAAACATACCACGGGATCGAGATCAATATACGCGATCTGGAAAAGGGACACACGAAGAACCAATCAAAACAAGCCTCTGCATTCTTCTTTCCCCCGTCTCCTCCCTTTTCTTTTTCTCTATTATTCGTACATCAAGGAAAGATATAAGGGAGAAAAATAATATATAGGATGAAAGTGTAAAAAAAAAAAAGAACAAAAAAGAGAATAAGTATATAAGGTAAAGCAGAAACCCCCCATAGCACAAAGAGTATAACCGATATATATCCAGGATCCTTTGTTGATTCAGAACGCCAGCGGTAGTAAAACGTGAGAGTAGCAGTAACAGTAGGAGGGAATAGGGAAAGATGGGGTTGATTGTAAGGAAGGAAGTAGTGAGCCCCCCCCCTCCGCCGGCCCGTGGCTCCCCCTTTTGGGAAAAAGGGGCGCCGGATGTCGGATCAGAGGTAGATGGATGGGTAATAGGTAGGTGTAGGCGGTCTAGGAAATGGAGAAGTCGGGTTGATGGGGAAGAGGAAAAAGGGGGCGGGAGGGGGCTCTCTGGTATATCATAGTATACGACAAGGGATGTAGGCAAAAAGCATGATAACAGAGAAAATGGATGAAGGTGGAAATCAGAAAGCGAGGAAAAAAAAAACAACGCACCTGGTGCGGGAAGAATTGAATAGGTAGTAGAAAGCTAGAATGGCTCGTGAATAGAATAGAATAGGAGTCAATCCATGCCTTCTCCCCGCACGCGCACACACACAAGGCCATAATTTCATCACAAGCAAGGCTAGAAAGCAATTCAGGTGAATTCTTCAACTTCAGTGATCATATCCTGCTCCTCTTTGCCATGGACTCGGGTTGTTTTGTTGCCGGTATGCGTGTGGGTTTTGCATGGGAGAGGAGGTGTAACCACGCGGCACAGGCGATGGTGAGCGTCCAAAATTGGCGTCATGCGAGCCATTGCGGTTGTCGCTGGGGAATAGCGGCAACGAAGGGTCCACAGGGGAGGCCGGCGAGCGCGCAGCGTGGTTCGGCGAGGGCTCAGGAGCCTCAAGGTTCTGACGGCTGACACTGGCCCCGTTACCGCTGGAGAAAGACGCGTTATCATCTTCAAACGGACTGGACTTGTAGGGCGAATTCTTCATGTCGCCACGGGCCGTCGCACCCAAGGCATCCAGTTCGGTCGTCAGCTGGCTGCCCGACTTGATGAATGAACCCCGGTCATCCCTCATCGGCTGATAGCGTGTGTCCGGGTTCTTGGATACAATGGCGTAGATAGAAGCGACCAACACCATGATCAAGAGCACGAGGGCGAAGATTGCGTTGATCACGAAGAACACGACGCCCATGACACCAGTAACAATGCCGGGTTGATTGAAGACATTCGAGAAGAAGAGGAGGAAGATGACGTTAAGAAAGTTGATCGCAGCGATGGCGATGTTGTAGATGTTGGTTTTCTTATCCATCCACGGACGCAGCACACTAACTGCGATGAGCATGCAGGCCTCGATAATGACCAAGGCAATAGTCTGGACAACAGGAGCCGGTTGACTCAAGCCAATGAACATGCCCTTAACGAAGATATAGCCGAGGAAAGGAAGAATGAAGTAGTATGCAGTTGCGCGATATTGCACATACAAGAAACCCCACTTGTTCAGGCAGGTTGGGTCAGAGAAGAGAATATAGGCCGGATTTTTGTGCATCACAGTTGATCGGTTTGCTAGGCGGAGCACCTTGAGAGATGCCCAACCCAGAGCGGCGACCACCGACAGGAACATGACGATGGCCAGAACCACCTCCGCAGCCGAGTCGCGCTGGGTAAGCTCCCATAGACACAAAACAGCCATTTGGGGAAAGCCGATCAGCGTCAGCCGGAAGAGAATGCCACGGGCTACCACTTTCCAGCCGTTCCGGAAGTCCTGGAACTTGTTGCTCTTCATCCTACCCTGCTTGGCTAACAGTTCACAGCCAAGCTTGAAAAGGCCGACCAAGATCATGACCAGAGCAACAAAGACAACAAAGAAGATGAGACCAGTCATAAAGATGTTCGTCGATTCGATTTTGGCCTTGAAACCAACACGCTCGATACCTCGTACAATGACAGTAGAATCGGTCGCTGTCTTGCTGTTCCCTGAGGCACGCTTGCGCATATAATTCAGATAGCCGCTTGCTCGTCTGAAAATGCCTTGTTCCTCAAGCTCGAGGTCACGTTTTCTACGTTTGTAGGTTGCGACCGAAGTTGTTGAAAGACTCGATAGTAGCGTCGCAGCGGTACCTCCGGTGGCTCTCTGATACCAAGTACAGATATCCTCCAAAAAGCCGACATGGATGATACCCATACTCCACTGGAAATTTTGGGTCCACGCTTCAACGATCGGGGGCATATGCACCGATGTCATGCCAATCATGGCCTGAGACTGCATGAAGCTGAACAAGGAAAGGGCATTGGCTGCGACATGGGCTGCGGTGTTTGAGTGCCCCAATCCCGAGGTGATGGCAGAGGCGGCGAGACCTAATCCGGAGATGACAGCAGTCGCCCAGCCGACACCCTTTTGATAAACCGTCTGGCCGTTCGAAAGCTCCGCCTCCATGCAGGTGATGCTGGAGTTCGTTGACGTGGAATTGATGTAGATACGCACACTAGCGTCGAGATCGGGAACAGTATAGGCGATGCCTGATAGGGAGCGGTTAGCAGGCCAAGGCGCTGGAAGGTATCGCCCTTGCCATGGGGCGCTACTCACCTGGGATATCTTTGATCACCGACTCGGGGATGGTCAAGGTAGCTTTGGCAACATCAATGGCACCGGTGTTCATAGGACAGAGACCCGCGATGCCCATTTCACATGGATCCAGGGTCTCTGACAAGACACTGATGCCGTAGGCTGTGAGCTGCAATTCCGCAGTGACATAGCCGGAAATCGCTGATACTCCATCGAAGCTGAAAGCGAGTGAGCGGTTGCCGGGAGTGAATACGACGCTGAAGTAGGTAACAGTGAAGTTGTTGCTCGCTTGACATAGATTGAGAGCGCTGGATTCGATCAACCTGATGGCAGTCACCTGCAGGGTGTTGAGCAAGGCGAGGAAAAGCCCGAAGAGGATGGAGGATAATCGCATATTGACCGAGCCGTGTCCGACGACAACAATATCATCAACTGCCACGGAGGGGATCTGTCAAATATTTTATGTAGTAATGCGGAGAAGACGTAGTTATCGGGGCGGTCAAATCGAAGGGTGGTACTCCAGAGCACCAACTTGGCGCGAGCCGAAAGCGGAAGTCGTGGGAAGTCGAATGTCGTCCTGCGGGAGGGTTTTAATGAATCAGGTTCCAGGGAAGAGATGCTTCCAAATGGTCGATGGTTGAGATGGTTCGGTAGTCTAGGAACGTATCGTTGCGAATTACGGTTCACAACGTCATTGATGGCTCAAGGCGGTAGTTGGTAGAAGAAACAGGGTAAATGATCGGCTAAGTAATTCTATTTAGTCAAAGGAGTGACGAAGATGCAGTAGTTCGAGTATATAAGCGAGTGTCAGACTGGAAGTCGAGTAGTTTTTGAGAGAAAGCGAGTGTATAAGTTTTTTTTTAAAAAAAAAAAATTGGAGAAATTTGAATAATGAGTGAGCGTGGACGGTGACACACACAGTATGGCCCTGGAAGGTTGTCGGGAGGAGGGGTGGGTGGTGGTGGTGGTGGTAGTGGAAGAAAGGGACAGGAGACCGGGTCGAATTCGGGTGCCTGAGTCTCCTCCCTTAAAGTGGGTGCGCTGCTTAAGAGACGGACGACGTTCACACCCTCCTGCAGTCAAGTGAAGGGCAAGTCGAGCAGAACGAAAGAGAGAGAGAGAGAGAGAGAGAGAGAGAAACGAAGGGAAAAGAAGGTAAGTACAAAGTACAAGGGAAGCGAAAGAAGAGAATGGAGAGACCTCTCTTCTGTAGATACTCTCTCTCACTATCAGATTTCACTCTCTCGTCCTCTTCTGCTTCTTCGTTCAGTGTTTTCTTCAGGGGAGAAGAGAACGAAAGAGCGAGCGAGACCCAGAGCTGGTCGTAGGAGAGACGGTCGGGAATGCTTGTGAAACCACCTGAGACCCTCTTACCGGCTGACTCAGCACGGGGGCAGTTGGTCGGGGGCCAATCAACAGCCCGGGTGGCCTTGTCACGGATGGGTGGGGCTCGACTCGATCAGGTTAAGTGCCCTAGCCTGCACCTAGTAAATGGAGACTGTATCCTGATTACATATTACCTGTTGAGTACCACTCCTCACTCACTAAATGATTACTACAGTACAGTAGTTACTGAATATCAATCCTGGATCTGGGGGAGCAATATATATGAAGAAAGGCATAAGAGAGGCATAAGAGAATAAGAGATGGACAAAATGACAGAAACTGGCTGGGGTCTTCTTGTTCCGTGGGGGCCCTGTTTCCCTTCCAGGTATGCACTAATGCTGACAACAAATGATGATGAAACTGATGCTGATGCTGATGCTGATGCTGATGCTGATGCTGCTCCCGCTTCTACTCCCGCTGCTATGCTGATCAAAAAGGGCCAAAATGTCAATCCAAACAGGAATGAGAATTTTGCCGCTGATGCTGGCGCTGGTGCTGGTGCTGGCAGAAAGCTAGGCATACCTCTCTGATGACCTCTACAGTATGGTCATTCGTACTCATACAAGGTACAGTACCAATATGCGTAGTACGTGCACGCGCGTCCCTCAGGGGGGTTGGGTCTGGGCCGAATGCGGGTGTTCTCTTGCTCCGCCCTCGACTTTGATTTGCCTTTTACTTACCGCCCAGAGTGAAAACCTTGGGGCGCTGGAGTGGGAATTGGGAAGTCCCATTCTACCCACGGATTCTAAGATTTGGAGTCTACGCTGGAGTTCCACCCGACTGCTACCTACGTTGTGTCGTTGTCGTTGTCGTAGTCATAGTCATAATCGTCCACGTTACGTTTGGACTTTTTGAGGTCTGGGACACCCAGTGAGTGAGTGGATCTCTTTTTGACTACGAGTACGGACGTTCATAGCTCTGGATGGTCAGAGTGAGTTCCATTGATGCCCGTCAGTCAATGCTACTACGGTAAGTATGGATGTGCAAGACTGCGACAAATCAGACCTTCGCTCTTTACCTTCTCTTGTTGCACATGCACTTGACCTCGCCGGCGGTAGTGATATTCTTGCTATTTTTAGTCGGACATAACCACTCTTACTATTTACCACGAGCGAGAAGCTGAAACTGGTCGGCGCATATTGATCCAGTAGTACAAGCGGGAGACTATGTTGATCGATTCCGCCCCGTGCCTTTGGCCATTTTTGATCCGCCCGCGAACTATGGTGTATAAGGCTCTGGTGTCTAGTACTGACTTTCCATTGACCATTGGATCACTTGTCGCCGACTGCGCCTAGATTGTTTGAACTGGTAGGGCGTTGAGCTTGGCTTGTCATTGCGAACTTGAAAAAGGACAGACGGCTCAATTGACCGTACGATAGATACACCTGCTACTCCGTACTTCAGGTTGATCTAGCTGATCCTCAACGTATTCGTATCCTTTTTGCCTACCTAGGAGTTACCAACAGCCCAAGTCTTACTGCACAGCCCCCCTCTGCAGCAGTTGCTTAACTCCAGGTCATTCCCACACAGCACCAGATGTGGGACTATGAACTCCTTTAATCAATCTCAATCAAAGTTGTCTCTTTTACAGTGTACAACACGATCTGACCGCTAGCATTGTGAGACAAATCGTACTATGCCCTCTCCACCACTTCGTGATTCACAAGCACATGAGCCTTATGGAGTACTCGTACTCATACATGTTGAGTAATTTGTTTGTGCTCGACATCTTTTGTACGTCCCTGATCAACAAGCAGTCGATCTTTTACCACTATGAACGGTAAATTACTCGACACTTGGCCGTCCGTGTCTGCGCATCATGACGTCTTTCCCCATTGATCCACTCCAACCCCATATATTATTGATCATAGATTTGACTATGGGATATCATGTCTCAACCAGCAAAAGAGAAGACGGTCACGCAGCAATCGATCGTAGAATATCTCCAGCAACGTTCTCCTTGAGGGGCTAACGAGCACCTGCACCTGCACCGGCACCAGCCCTCAGACCAGTCGGTACCTTAATAATCAGAAAAGAAAAAGGGTCCGAAGTTCAGACTCACTCCAACATGCTGGGCGCTGCGAACCATGGCACGCCCCCCTCCTATTTTTGGCATGGGAACTTGCAAATTCTTTTCGAAAATAAATCAACCAAGGTTTGCGTGGCTGTCCGCCACACGATCCATTGTGGAATCTAGTCCAGCAGCGGTCGTTCTGCTCCGCAACACAACCCTATTTTTTCCCGTTGCGCATTCTTCCAACCGACATGATCTTTCAATCTGATCTCTCAGCTGTCAATGATCTGTTACACATGCAAGGTGCACTTTCCTACAGTCACTTCTCACCCCTTAAATTCTGGAGGCTCTGCTCTGTGCAGTCCATGTTTATCTAGTCCAGGCTCTTAGCCAGCAGCACGGTAAAATGTATCCGAACTTCCGAGCGAACTTAGTCATTCGGTTGCCTAACTAACACGCAAACACCTTGGCTGGCTGGGGATCTTGTGTACGCATAAACCTTCTCAAGACACGGCTGGGAAGCCTTAGTAACCCCCCTGCTGTACCCATGCAAATATGTCAATCCTAGTATGGGCAAACAAGAACTCTCAATGGCATTCAGTGTTATGTGGACGGATCTCCGGTTTCCACATTACTATGACGTGTCTACGTGCTTCGAGTCTCGGCTGCCCCAGCAGGCCGCACAACAATGGCATCCATGTTCCAGCACACGCTTCCAATGAGAATCTTGCTATCCAATCACCGAGCTTGCAAGGCGAGCATGAAGCGAAGGATACAGTATATACATACCGGAACTCGCACTGGGTTACAGGCCTGCTTCATCGGAATATCACTCGCGTGTCTTCAAACTTACCAGTTGGACTAGCAGGATAAAGGCTACAACAGCGAATCTGTCTCACGATTCTCTTGTCTTTCTGAACAATTGAAGAGCTTGACAGTTTGCTCCACAGCGGCTTCTTCTCCTTTCACGCCATAATGAACGAAACTAGCAAAAAGGGGTATGCTGGCGGTTGGCGCAAAGCGCCAGGCTTCCACGGAATATACGGTCAAGTTCATGAATCTTGTTTATCTTCAAGAAGAGGTTTACATCGTTCACGACCACACCTATTAAAAGGGTGAGGCCAAGCAGTTCCAGGAATCGCCGACTGCTGCTGTTCTTCTCTTTATCATCAAATTTCATATACTGCCCTACGTTTTAGTTAGAGATGTGACTTACTCCTGTGTTATCGGATCCCGACACAGCTCTTCTCCTTTTTTTTGTCATTCTTCGAATATTATTTCATGATCCTCATGGCGTAATTTTGTGGCTATGCAAAGGGATTGATTGAATCACAAGGACTTGATCGGGCTAAGGCCCTCAAAGAGCACCGCAGATTGCGATACCAAGGGCAGTAATGTGATTGAGTGCGTATGCGCCAGGCAGCATAATTGTTGTTTCTTGGAGCAGCATTCTGTCTACTTGCACTGATTCCTCAGGACCAACGTCTACACGTACCTCGAACGTCAGGGCTTGCGCCTTATTCCAACGGAGTAGAATGAGCCCAAAGGCTGAACGGACGCGCTTTAAGCGACTAGTTGATTTGGTATAGTATGTCCTATAGGCACGACACCTATCATACTGGTCGATGCAAAGATGCCAACCTGACGAGCGGTGAAGCCTTTACATTCAATCAACATGCGCGTAGCCTGCCACTTCGTAGCTTCTACATCCTTCTATATTGGTCATATTGACAACATGCCACGTACAGGGAGATTACCAGCCGTGGATTTGAGTTTTCTGCTATTGGAGCGCGGCGGAGGGATGTGCTGATAGTTTATTCATGCCTCAGGCATGCATCCTATGTGGCCCACCTTTATCACCGTCTTATCAGCACGTGACGCGGAGTTTGGCAGAAACGGAGGAAAAAAAAAAAGAGAAAAGCGGCCGTCGCGATTCCAGGCCCTGCACTTCCACCACCAGAATCTATTTTTCGCCGTGAGGATTTCGTCGACACCAGACAACTCGCGAAAATGCCGATCCCCGTGGACTCCGCAAAGTCTCTCTCCAAGAAGCGCAAGAGAAAGCACGGTGGCGGCGCCCGCCCTGCGACCGACAACGAAGAAGCCTCCCCAGTCCAGAATGAAGCCGTGACCGAAGTGGCTGATGCTGTGGAGGAGGAAGTCGGCACGA